TACCTGTGTTATTCTTTAAATCTGTTTTTCTTGTCATTATATTAGAAAGTATGGGTTTAAAAAAACCACAACCAGTCCCATAGATTGGTAGTGATAGACATAAAAAAAGATTTGCAAAAGATGTATGTGTCTCTTAGAAACATAAATAAAATATTAGGTCTTCAAAAATGTCACTAGGTTTTCTACATGAGATACGTTTTCCAAAATTATGAGTGATCTTTTCTCTAAAATGTTATGTAACATTTGCGGCTCTGAACAAGTTTTATTTAGGTTGTAAAGGTTTTAGACGGTACGTTGGACTATACAGTTTACACCAAAGTTCTGGATACATCCATCCATCCATCCATTTTCTGAACACCCTTGTCCCTCAGTGGGGTCGGGAGGGGTGCGGGTGCCTATCTCCAGCTAACGCTCCGGGCGAGAGGCGGGGTACATCCTGGACAGGTCGCCAGTCTGTCGCAGGGCTCTGGATACATTAAAACATTTTTATATTCTTTTCTAGTTTTTCTTCAAATGTTTAGAGATTTGTTTAACTTGCTAATAATTAATAAGCTTACATGCTCGCGCTTTTTTTTTCTTTCTTTATTTTAGGAAAATATGGATCTTTTCGTGTCTGGGATAAAGATATGATTGATTGATTGTTTGATTGAGTTATTGAGTCTGGGTTGCTCGCTATGTGATTTGCTCGCAACATGTGTGCATTCTATTGGCTCTTGTGCAACAAGGCGTGACCAGCGCGCGACGTCAGACCTCACGAGCGCAGCTTGTTTTGGAGGAAGTGAAGAGAGCTCCGTTCAGCTAGCAGCTAGCCGCTTAGCCTGACAGGAAAAGTGAGTACCTAAATCGCCCGTCATATTTAGTCATTTTACTCCAACATTGACAGTGTTGATTTTAACATATGGGCTTAGTGGAGAGCCTAACTTTCGGACAGCTGTCGTCGCTCTAAACGTGTTGTTTTGTCTCATATTTGTCGGAGCTGTTAGCCGTCCTGCGCGTTAAGCTAGGTCTTCCATCACAGGCGAAACAAAAAGTCTACCTTTGAATTTTGTAAAATAAATAAATAAAATAAAATAAAAATCTTTTAATCTGACGGCTCGTCGCCCAGGTTAGTTTGTTGTAACTCAGTCTGTTTATTACTGACAATATATCATTGCTGTCGTTTTCTAATTATCATAAATATTAACATTCCCCTGCTTTAGCCAGCGGTATGTTGCCTAATTGTTTACTAGATGGTTATGTCGTGTTGTAAAATCGACCATGAAACAGTTTCAAGCAGATTTCTTTATTACGCATATGTAATAGAACCGATTAGAAATTGTCTATGGTGTTTCTCTTTCTGGTCATTTGCTTACCATAGTCATTTGCAGTGTAGCTTTGCCAGTTGTTTACAATGCTAACTATCTGAAAGTGTGTTGCAAGTCTTGCATTCCCGTGTTTATAACCTTTAGATTCGTGATGCAGTGGATCATCATCATATGAAAAACATATAGAACCAAATAGGTCAGTTGTGATTGATGCCGGTTGTAACCCATTATGTTCCAGTTAACAGCAGCACTTGTGCTAACGCAGCCTGCCAAGTCATGGTTCCGTTAGTCGTGTGTTTAAAGCCATGTGATCAGTTCCTGACACTGTGTCATGGGGTTCCGATTATGCGAGCTGCAAAGATAGCTCTATGCTAGTTTTGCCTTTCGGCTGTATGCGGACAACTTTTAGTGTATCAAAGTTTAGGACACGTGTTGTTGGGAATCTGTGACTCCTCTCAGTTTGGGCTTGTTAACCGCGTCACCTGATAGCAGTGATGGCTTTAACCCCACTGTAATAATAGAGTAATGGAGTTTGGACTTTGAGAATTACAGTTTTATGAGGAGGTTAGTATTGCGCAACAGGGCTAGACTGAAGTCAGAAGTCTAATGCAATGTCTCCCTGAAACTCGTTGCTTTGCTACCAAAGCTGTTCTTCTGCCATGATTGGAGGATTGATTTGTTTACTATAAAATTTAGACGCATTGTAAGTTGAGGGGGTGGGAGGTTATGTATTACATTTTAAAATGAAACATTGAACGTAGCTTTGGGTTGCATTTGATTTACCGCACTTACTAAAACAAATCATCCTGCTCTAGGAGCTTTCTATTTTTAATCATACAAAATTTGTATATATTTTACTGTATTGTTTGGCATGAGCCACTGTGTTTGTATGAGTGGGTGTGATTACAGTTAGATCAGAATAAGCAAGATTTATAAAATAAATAAATGAACTGAAAAAAGAGAAAGATGTGCTTCAATAAGTGTGGATTATCTTGTAATTCTTACTTTTTCTGGTTCATTTAAAACTTATTATTTTTTATTTTTTATGTTTTATTGTTAGGAGAAAAATCTGAATCTGCAGGTGAAATCCCCAAAAAAACTATCTGATACATGAATCTTTGGCTGGGAAAGACCTGATCTCAGTGCATTTATTATTACAATGTATTAGTGTTATTATTACACTAAAATGCTGAAAAATTCACTTAAAATCTGAGTTGCTTTGTGTTCCTGTTGTTTCATGTACTATTCACCATCAGGTTTGTTTTCTTTTGAAAAGTACAGGTATGAAATAGTTTGTGTCTTCGCTATTTGTCAAAAGTGTCCAACACACAATCAGAATAACCATCAATATCATAATGTAATTATTTATACCTTTATTATTACTAAAGGTTATGAGTTATCATAACTGAAAAATAACAGTACTGAAACAAATGTAATCTTCACAGCGATGATTTGTTGTGCTTTTTAGAGATGCCAGTTCCTGGTTTCTTTGAGGTCTTACCTGCTGATTCAGAGTTTAGTTTTTTCTAAGGACTAAACACAGAAAGAAATCAGCTTTGAATTTTTTTTCACAGAGTTCATTTTTGATTACAACACAAAGTGAAGAATAGTTTACTAAATTAATCCCATTAATGCGCCTTGGCATCTGTTCTTAACTTTAACCTTAAAGTCGCTTGCGGTTGTTTTCCTGGAGTAGAGCTAAAGACGGATCCTTCATTGTTCAAGGACCAGAGTTTTGAAGAGTTACGCATTGTTTTAGGGATCACTTTTAGTTTTTTTCTTGCTTTTGGTGGAGAAACTGTTGCTCTCTGTGTCTGTATGAACCTTCATATATGATCACGTGTCGTTTCAGTGTTTCCAGTTAAAGCTTTCTTTGTATTTCCAGTCCAGTCAGTTTCTCGGATATTTTTAGCATCACATTAGTAACTCAGCTAAAATATGTTTGTTTACTTATGTTTGTATTTCAAGACATTTTTTTTTAAAAGAAGTAGTACAGTGTTTGGCCCAAATCCAAACACTGACTGCCTGTGTTCAGGTTTGGGCAGCACAGTATATGACGATTGCGTAACATTACTGATCAAGATCCGAACTGGAGTGCAGTAATTGCTGGGCTAATCTATTTCAAGTGTTATGAACTTGCATTTTATATGCTAATGTGATGTTTAGTCAGCTAGAGTCTCACGACAGCAACTGTCTCTCTATCCATCCCAAGTTAAAAAATGAACTATCTTTGGAGATTTAAGTCTGAAAGTCAAAACTTTGTCAAGGAGAACATGTAGGAACTCTAATTACTTCTCTTGTTTTAATTTTTCCTCTAATTGTTTTGTCTTCACAGCTGTGAAATCATGACATCAAGGAAGAAAGTTCTACTCAAAGTCATCATCCTTGGAGACTCTGGGTAAGTAGTTGTTGCAGATTTACGTTGGTTCTAAAGACGACTCTCCCACTTCCTGGTTTCAGCAATCCTGGCATTATGGTCACTTTCCTTTTCCTAATGTTTTTTTAATATGGGCTTCATATTTGTTTTGTTATTGTAGAGTTGGGAAGACCTCGCTAATGAACCAGTATGTGAATAAGAAGTTCAGCAACCAGTACAAAGCCACGATTGGCGCTGATTTTCTGACGAAAGAAGTCATGGTGGATGACAGACTTGTCACAATGCAGGTACTGAAGCTACTTCTGGCTCTCTACATCTGTTTGGTGAATACAAGCTTTAAGAAACCGTAACTGTTCTGCCTTTCAGATTTGGGACACAGCAGGTCAGGAGAGGTTCCAGTCTTTGGGTGTAGCTTTCTACCGTGGAGCAGACTGCTGTGTGCTGGTGTTCGATGTGACCGCACCCAACACCTTCAAGACCCTAGACAGCTGGAGAGACGAGTTCTTGATCCAGGCCAGCCCACGAGACCCAGAGAATTTCCCTTTTGTGGTGCTGGGCAACAAGATTGACCTGGAGAACAGACAGGTAAAATTATGTTTTTACTATAGAAATATTTCTAGGCTACAATATTTTATTAAAATTAGTTATTTAAAAGTGCATTGGGGTAAGTTGGAAAAGTCCGCCCATGACTAGAGGAGCATCTCTCAAAGATTTGTAGCCTTTAATTAGCACGGAAAGATTTCCAAATCCAGCATGTTCCATGATAGGACAGAGAAAGTTGGGTATTTTTTCGTCTAGCTGGATTTTTCTGTTAGATTCTTTATTGCTCTCTGTGACTCTAGGTGGTTGAGGCTATCGGTAACTCACGGCTAATATACGCTTGCTATCTAGCTAGCTTTTATTGCGAGTATCGCCAGTTGGATGAAGAACATTTCTGTGAAGATATTTGTCTTAAATCCTATTCATAATGGTTTAAAAGTCTTAAATTTGAGTTGGTGAAACCTGCAGAAACCCTGATTGTAGCTCGTGTGGCCTGGTGTAGTGTGTTCACTGATCACATAAAGATAGGATTTTTGGCATTCCAATAGATCGACCACCACCCTATTTTATTTCTTTATTTATTTTAACCAATAACATCAGCTGCTGTTGCGTTTCAGGTACCAACCAAGCGGGCACAGCTTTGGTGTCAGAGCAAGAACAACATCCCATATTTCGAGACCAGCGCCAAGGAGGCAATCAACGTGGAGCAAGCCTTCCAGACTATCGCACGCAACGCTCTTAAACAGGTAACAGGACGATGACCGTCATTGTGAAGCATCCGCTTTTCCTTTTTGTTGTAGTTTAGTTAATGTTCCCTCCACTCATTGTGGCTCTGATCTCAGGAAACCGAAGTGGAGTTGTACAACGAGTTCCCCGAGCCAATAAAGCTGGACAGGAACGAGCGAGCCAGGCCTTCAGCAGAGACCTGCAGCTGCTGAGGCCTCTGTGGATCATCAGGGGCTCGTCATCGCCCGCATCACCCTGTCTTGCCTTGTCTATTTATCCCCTGCCCCGTGGCCCCGCTGTGTTACGCCCTGACGTCCAACATACAAGCAGCGTTCCCGCTCATAAGAGTATATTACTACACACAAACATGCTGCCCCCACCTCCTTATATAAATATATATATACAAAATACATTTTCTATAAAATAGTCTTTTAGTCCAAAGAACACTTTAAGGAAAGAATTAGGTGTCTATTTGTTTGAAGCTTGTTTCCTCCCCAGTCTTTGCCCCTCTTACTCCTCCTTGGTGGTTTGGGGCTGAATTTCCTTCCGTTTCATGTATTTCCTGCTTTCACTCCCAGTGGGCTCCCAACTGCTTGTATTTTGATACTTAAAATGGGAAATCAAAGCATTACTTCTGTACGTATTTTGAATTTCTGACTTGGACAAATATTGTTTTGTTTTTTTTTTTTTTTTTTTTTTTTTTTTTTTAAAAAAAAAATTTTTTTTTTTTGGGGGGTTTTTTTTTTCGTGCCCCCACTTTTTGCCAAAAAAAAGGA